TGGCGGATGGTGCAAAGTGGATAGTCTCCTCCCGATCATATCCCACACATGTTTGATGGGATTTAAATCCGGTGAACGGGGTGGCCACGGCCAAACATTAACGCCTGCTTCTTGAGGAAAGTCCGTAGTACATCGAGCAATATGGGGACGTGCGTTGTCTTGCTGAAAAACGACATGTGGACGGCTCTTTAGTTACAAGTAAAGTTGTTTGTAGGATATCATCAACATAACGCGCAGCTGTCATATTGAATTGAACAAAGAAAAGGGGCGATCGGCTACCATAGGGAATAGCCCCCCAAACCATTACTCCAAAAGTTCTGTGTACATGCCTCTCAACAGCAGATCCAATATCACGCCGTACTCCACGGCGGCGTCTTACTTTTCTACGACCATCGTGCGTACCTAGGCAGAATCGCGATTCCTCGCTGAATATGACATTATGCCATTCTGCCTCATAATGTTGCCGTTCTCTTCTGCAGTTCAAACGTTGACAACAGTGGTCCGCAGTCAGAGGAAGCACTAACCGTGGACGGTATGAAAATAGTCCAAAGGCTCGAATGCGGCAATAGAGTGTACGCACAGTTAACAGGTCTACCTTCTTCTCCAAACCATTCGTCATCGATCTCACTCGTAGTGCAAAACGGTCTCGAAGGGCTAGTTGTCTGAAGCATCTATCTTGACGCTCTGTGGTATGCCTCGGTGGACCAGTTGGCCTTCTTTGTGTTCCTCTACCTTCTTCAGTCACACACACGACACACACGCATTACCTCGATAGGCAATAATTCTACCCCCAAAGTCCCTAACATGGTGATAATTTTGTTATGCTTAACACTAGTAAATGAAAAGGCAATAACTAAAAATATCTGTACTACTCAGCTCTCTGAAACTGCTTTCTTCCCAAAAACTAAGAGATAACATTTTAACAAAGGTAAACGAAAACAAACATAAAACGTTGACATTGTCGCCACTGCATGCTTTAAATATAGTCATTATGTTGCCAAAAAAAAGACAAGTTGAGGAAATTGTTTTTTCTGGGTGTAAAACTTCTAATGTCACTGAGTATAATATTGAATACATATATATTGAATATTACTGACTAAATGTATGAAAAAATGACCACGTGAAATAGTAGGTAGTACGAACAAAGGTCGTCTATAGAGAATGCGATGGTGGAATATTGCTGCCAAACGGAAAGTTTTCAAAGACAACTAGTTATGGGTTATATACGGTTATTCATAGTATATGGGGGCACATTATAAACACAAATATAAAGGGTACCCCGTTCTGACCTACATATCACAGTTGATTTTTCCTAAATAGTCTGCCCTTGTTTGCATTACATATTCGGACAGACCATTTTAAAAGAAGAAGATTGATATAACATTCCTATGAGTTTCGGTTATTAGTTTCTGAACTATTGGGTATTTTCTATGAAAAAACACTTAATTTTATGTCAAACATTTTTATTATCCTCAATACTATTCGTCATTATTCGTCAGAGCGGTCCGGTGGACCTTTGCTCTTAGTTAAAAGTCTCGTCGGTCTGTTAGTCTGTCAGGTCTTGCTACCCAGATACCAAACAAGTTTAAGGGGAAAGGGAAAGAAGGAAAGAAAGGAAGGAAGAAATAGAGCAAAGAAAAGATGTAAATCATTTGAAATAGCTTAACATTATTGCTTTAACTACTCGAATTATTTTGTAACTCCAAAAAATAATTTTGATCGGTTTTGTATTCTGAAATAATTTTGGCTGGTCTGAATTTACAATTTAATTTTGATCACAGTGCGAGGCGCGGCCTTTAATGTTTGCGAACTTGCTCGACTGTCTAGTGTCCTGAATCACGCAACAGAGGGTTGCTGTGCGATTCCGCTTGATTAATTATCCTGAATGTCATACATAAATTATCTTTTTTAATTCTCTGGACGATGAATACAGGGCGTTCAGAAATACAAAACAGTGTTCAATTTGGGAACAATTTGAAGCAAGTCAAAAACTTCATAAATGAACAGGATTGACCTTTATATCAGTGAAAAGCTTGTAAAAAGTAGAATCCAAAAAGGTTAAAGTATACAGTGTTATATTTATTTTTTTGAGAAAAAATACAGTTTGCGTTTCTGACCTCCCTGTATTGATAATTCAGGAAATAAAAAAAATTATGAATTAAGTTGACAGCAAATTCACTCTTCCACTTGATATTAGATATGCAGGCTGTCAAACTTTGGTGTTTCTTCAGATAAAATACCCAACAGCTCAACAACTAATAATCAACACCGATAAGTATTATTATATCAGTTTTTAAGTGTCTATTCGAATGTGTGATAAAAATATGGCATTCCATTTGAAAAATTAGCTTAAATGTGTGAGTCGAATTTAGGACACCCTGTATAATTGTTAGTATTCTATCTTCTCCCAGATACCATGTATAATATAATCGATAAATAGTTTTCTTTGAAAAGTTTCTGTTTAGAAACAATATTCCGTCCCATCATGGATGAGATTAAACATCTAACAGCAAAAAAGGTTGCTGTTATAGAAACATATTTGTAGTAGTCTGTGGTTTGCACTAAAATTGCGAATAAGATTTTTGCTACAACCGCAATCATTTTCCATTTCCTATGAAAGCGATAAGAATCCATGCATAGGTATTGTAATGGAAGCGTTCCATCGTCGCTCCGACCGTAACCGTGGAGAACGCATCTGCAACTTTGTCACTGTAATGCGATTTGCGATCGATCATTAGAAAATGTTAACTTTGCGCCACTCCCAACAATATCTGCCACTTTTCAGCCAGTTGAATAAAAAGGCGTTTCGTCAACACGTGTGGTTGCCATCTTCAGAAGATGTTCACAGTTTGCAGTCCTGTGAGATACTGAGCGAGTGATGGCCGCGAAAGCCTTTCGCATTTGATTCCGTATTATACAAAAAAATTAAACGATCATGCAAGACATTTAGGTATTGTTTCCAGTTCCCTTTATCCAACACTTTTTCGTTTTTTCCCAGCCTACAAGATGTTCTGGCGGTCAACAAAAATACCGTCTTTTCAACATCGATTTTCAAAAAAATCGTTATTAACCCCTTTTTGAATTCTATTCAATTATATTCATCTGATATTCCGACTTGTCTGAAAATTACTTTATGCAGCAATATAAAATTAACTTTTTCATTTGTCTTTAACCTTCTTGTTAAACAGCTATTGTATTTATTAATTATTTTCATACAAAGGATTGCTGATCAAATAACGATGTCATTAATAAAAACCTGTAAAGTATTGGAAAATAATTCCAAATATTCAGTGATATTTTCTAGCACACGGATATAAAGTTCATTAAAATCGCTAGTTTCCGAGATAGTCGAAAAAAGTATTGTTCAAAAATCATTCCACGTATCTTGGAAAGGGAGACTTTTGACACATTCTTTATACAATTTTTTCGTGACAACTAAACAATCATCACATCGACTAATTTTATTATTTAGGGAACTTCAGAATGTTCAGAAGAAGGTGTTAAGTAATCTGAACTAAAAGGTGAAGTGAAAAAATCCGTATCATTAATCCTTGGTACAAAGCAAAAGTTCTCGAGGATGCATCGAATAAGCACGAATTAGGCCAAAAAGGCTGTTATTGTCAAGCTTTCGATTTTCTTCATCCTGACACAGAAATAACATTGAAGGTCACTTAAAAACCCTCACAATACCAATGAGACAACCACTTACAACGTAAAGTCATTTTTCAGGATGAGCAATCCATAAAAACGGAGGAAAACCATTAATTAAACGTACAGCAATAAAAAGCACAGGTGCAATTAAAATATTGATCAATATGAACCATTAGTGAAACTTTAAAAAATCAAGAAGTAAAAAGGCAGTTGCATCATAAAAGACAAAGTTGTTGCATAATGACGCGGGTGAATTTTGAGAAGGTGAGATGGCAGACCGTGAAGTGAAAAAATCCGTATCATTAATCCTTGGTACAAAGCAAAAGTTCTCGAGGATGCAGCGAATAAGCACGAATTAGGCCAAAAAGACTGTTATGTCAAGCTTTCGATTTTCTTCATCGGGACACAGAAATAACATTGAAGGTCACTTAAAAACCCTCACAATACCAATGAAACAACCACTTACAACGTAAAGCCCTCTTTCAGGACGAGCAATCCATAAAAACGGATGAAAACCATTAATTAAACGTACAGCAATAAAAAGCACAGGTGCAATTAAAATATTGATCAATAAGAACCATTAGTGAAACTTTAAAAAATCAAGAAGTAAAAAGGCAGTTGCTTCATAAAAGACAAAGTTGTTGCATAACAACGCGGGTGAATTTTGAGAAGGCAGGATTGGGAGACCGTGAATGAACAAAATTGACACTGATAAAAATAGCCAATACCGCGCATGTCCACATTCGGAGGCAGAAAGGGGGCAGATTTGAGAGCAGTAAACTGGTAGACAAAAGCGCAATTCGATGTAATTTTTAATATTCGCTCAGAACCATTGACATTTCTTAATTATTAAATAGAACAGATTGGAAAGATTATTGTGAAAAAATAATAATTGTAAATGGATATTGTTTACTCCAGCAGAATATATACAATACCTTATTTGAAAAGAGGAGAACGAAAATTACCTAGCTAATGAGATTAGGCGGTTGAATTAGACTTCAGATATCTGACTTTTTATTAAGATTATTAGAGCAATTATTATTGTGATCTATTTCAAGAAAAAGCCTGGTACTATTCCAATTAAATTTGGCTTCTTTCAAATGGTTGTGGTATGAGGCCACAGCTGTTAGCATTACGTCAAAATTCACTCTTATGCATGTTTGGCCAATGTACGATCGATTACAATCATTGCAAGGTCTTGATTAAGCTACACTGGACTTATCCATCAATTTAATAGGTGTTTTTGAAATATTACGGATTACATATATTCCTGATTGAAATTTTAGTGCACCCTGAGAAAACCATTATTTATCGGAAAATGCGATCTATCTATCAAAAAAAAAGCTTACCATCAATGTCTAAATTCCCTTCATCGCTGATGCTATACCGATTTTGTAGATTATTTTTCTGTAAAACTTTGCTTTCCTTCAACCACTTGATCTTCGGCGGTGCTCCTTCAGGACTAGAAGCTTTACAGTGCAGTGTGGCAACACTGTGTAGAGGCAGCGTTTGATTGGCTGGACCGATTTGGATTATCGGGGGCGGTAGATCAGCAACTGAAGTTACCTGGAAGCCAAAAATAAGTTAATTTATTTTTGAACCTACCTTCTATTCAAATTTCTTGTGCAAGGTTCGTATATTCCACTGTTGTAAAGTAATTTAGTCATATTACAGGTGACTTGTATCACCAGCTGAATATTTAAAAATCATTGCTGAAAACATGACTCTAGACTTCAGGGCAGTCAAATTTTATCGTCGATTTTTGTTATTGTAGTACAAAATTGTATTTAATAACGTAATGGACACGGCTCACAAGATATTCAAAAATACGTGGCTAATTTTAAATCAGCCAACCATGTTTCGACATTATCACATGTCGCCTCACGTTATCGAACTTGTATAAACTTTTACAAGCCTTAAAAACTACTTATTTCATCTATAATTAATCATGTTGTCCCTCGCTCTTCAATTGTCACAAGGACATCGCTCTCAGACGCACTGATACCCCCTTTTCAATTTTCAGGATCTCTGCTTTAGTTAGCAGAATCACTGACTGACCGACGGTATTATTTCCGTGCGTACAAGTAATATTCTTATGAAACGTTTTTTTTTGTACAATACTTTACATTTAAATACTGGTAATGCGAATTGATTCACTATAATACAAAAATCATTGTCAACAAAATACACATCTGTGCGGATTTATGGAATTTATTATAAATACAACCGTTCATATTTATTTTTTCATAAAACGCGATTGCCATAACAAAGTTATTTAAAATAACATGAATGTTGATACGAATTGGGCTTAAACTTCAATTGTATTAGTATATACAACCTTGTATTAGTCCGATTGCAGATAATCAAAAGCCAGTTTTAAATATAATGCGTATGAATAATGTGGCCAGATAAATCTGAAATAATATAAAATGAAATATATGCTTGTAGCCTACACAGGACATATGTGCATTGAAATACTAGATTATAACAAATAACTAGAAGCATTATTTTATGAATGAAAAACATATATAAAGATCAGTAAATGAAACTCTGAAATTGCAAACTATAAACATTAATCGACTGTACGTCTTTTCACAGGTTTTTGCGGCTACTTTACAATGTCAAAAGAAATAAGTAAATACATTGGCTAATTGTATCTGCGGAGCTTAATTTTCCTAAGAAAAATCTACAATGCGCAAGCCGATCTATAATGCAGCTGCTAATTTTTTTTAATATTAGTATGGTCCTTCAAGTATAAAGAGCGAAAGTCAAACAATCATATCAAAACAGTCGCGCGGCATACTCTCACACTACGTACGTCCTTGTCCATGCTACAGCATACAATATGTTTTACGTCCTTGTCTATGATCTAATCTATTTTTTGACTGGGGCGCGTAAGTATGGAAAAAGCATTATTTTCGAATACTTTATGATGTCTTCACCCCCTCCATCAGTCTGTTAGCTATTTTGTCAATTCGTAGCCTCAGCAAGCCCTGCAACAATTTTAATGGAAATTAAAATCGCTGCAAAGACTAGTCATTCACAAAATCGTCAATAGACAGAATCATGGAAGTGAGTTACTAGACTCTAATATTGAAAACAACACAAATTTCCAAAAATATTACACAGTCGATGGATTTCGAGATTATCGATAAGACGCGTGTGGAAGAAAGTTGTTAGCTCGCTGAATATTATAATGCATATTTGTTTAGAAAAATTGACTATACTTACTTGCAAATACGCCCTAGCACTATTCGACCCAGCGACGCTAAGGGCGTTACACACCAACCATCCTGCATCTTCCCTCTGGACGCCTTGGATCCGCAGCGTCCCATGCGCATTCACGTGGATATGACCGTTGGAATTGTCGGAAAACATCAACACCTGGGAACCCTCTTTGCTCCAGAAGATCGAAGGCGGTGGATTCCCGGTTGCCGAGCAGTGGAACTCCACCACTCCGTTGAGGCTGACTTTTTGATCGCGAGGTCGCTCGATGAACGTAGGTGGCGCTGGAAAAGGAATTAATGGCCATTTAAGTATGCAAGGGTGAATGTAGAAAACAGATTGTTTCAATGGGCATGTCCATCACCGTTGACGTCACGAGGTGTACAGCAGCTTACAAGTATTGGGCAGAAGGCATTCAAAATTTCTTGAAGCAGCCATTATGAGACAGCTATTGATAAGTTCAAATTCCCGACAAGTGACGGTATTTTAGGACTAACAAGAAGTGCGATGTATTTTCGCCCGAGCCTCAGTGGTAGTAGTAGATATTCTCAAAGTTCTCTCAGTTGTAATTTCCGGCGGGGTTTTCCAAACAAAAAGAGACGGATGAAAAGGAGCACCTAGCATTCTTTACGTTATGTCAAATTGACTGACTCTCGTAAACATTATTTTTGAACAATTCCTGCAAATGATATTTTATTTTATAAAGGGATATTGAAAAACACAGATAACCTTGATGAGTCAGAAACTACGTTCAAAAATAACAAGAAATCGTTCTATGAACGTGGGTACTAAACTGTTTCCTCCATGAGGTATCGTATTCACGAAATTGAGAAAATATATCTACATGGTGCAAGATATCGACCTAACAGGTATAAGCAATATAAGCAACACAAAAGTTTACTCGGTTAAAGCTAAAGCAGGGAGTTAGAGGTTGATGAGAGATTCTTTTGTTGATCTACATATTTTGATGTTGTTTTGTTGTTTTTTATTTGACTTGTGCAAACTGTTTTATATATTCATCACCAGTAAACTACTTCTTTCCCCTGACCTGAGAGTAACTTAGTATCTGTGCATATACGAACTTTTTTAGCTTTACGCTAGAAATCTTGTCAGTGTTGGGATTATCCTGAATCTAGTCCATTCACTTTTTCAGTTAATTTTGATGAGCATAACATGATTTATTTTCATAATTTTTATATACTCTGAGAGCGTAAAATATGCTGCATCGTTCATATTTTTAGTTACCCTATCTAATTATACGCCCAACTACCACAAAATTAAATGGTCTCTAAAATTTATGACTATACGTATTTCACACGCACACAGTGCACTGGGTTTCACACAGAGCCTATACATAGAATAATTAAAACAATTTTCCATTAAAATAAATAAAATTGTTTACAGAACGTAAATTTCTTTTAGCCGCAGGGTGTAAGCTTATTGAGTACATCGAAATATAATAGGTATCAAGTTTAATAGATCTCAAGCTCCTATTAAACTTTTAGACCTCTTGTGACGCACTACTGCATGAACTGTTGAAAACCAAAATAACAAGTAGTTCACGTTGTTCTACCTTTTTGTGTCTAGGGGAGCTTACCATCAAGCTGGCAGATATCAAAGTGATTCAAACTAACTTCCTTATTATTTCTTAAACCCGCGTAATTTTTTAACAGGATTAAAAATATGCTCAATATGATCAACACAACGCTGGAAAAAACAGAAAACAGGTTCAAGATAAACACCAAATTTACCGAAAAGTTTGAAGTCAAAGAAGGAATCCGTCACTGACATCGCTACTCTTCAACATTGTGCTCGAAGAAACTATGCAAGAAGCAAACATAAACAGAGCTGGTTTAGTTTATTACTGAAAGCATTTGCTCTTGACCTGGTTATTCTGGCCAGAAGTAAAGTCGAAGACACCGTAAAGAGACTAGAAATAAAAAGCACGAAGAAAAGGACTGTACAATAATGTAGAAGAAAATGGGCAGATAAAGAACTTAATACAGGACAGCACTTAATAATACACAATACAAGGGGGAATCTATAAGTTTGAAAAGGTACATACGTTTGACTGCTTGGGTACATTATTTACATCAAAGCAGGGTAACAAAGAGGAAGTCGTACCATATATGGCTAGAATGTCGAATGAGAAAGAAAATTATATCCAGGGGAGCTAAAATCTGGATCTACAAAATGTTTATAAGGCCAGTGGCCACAAATGCATGAGAAACATGTACCAGGCAGAACAAGCAAAGCTGGAGATATGAGAACAGGAGGTGTTAAGGAAGATTTTTGGTCGGTCATGAAGGCTCAGTGGTTGAGAGTATCAAAGGCACTGCTCACCTATTCAATAGGAGGGAAGAAAAGGATAGGCAGACCCAGGTGGAAAACTGAGATGGAAGAGGACGTGAGGAAATTAAATATAAATGATTGGGAAAGAAGAGCAATGAATAGAGAAGAATGGCGAAGGATCAACAATTAAGCCATGGGCATACTGAGCCTGTAGTGGTAGTTTATATGAATATAAAAAAATATTCTCAGTATGTGCAGAATTTGTATGCGTAATTGGAAAATGACTTGGAACTGATGCTTGCCGCTAACTATAGCAGGCATCCATCTGCCAAAAGTCCAATGAATAATTCATGCGGCAGCGAAGTGAACAAATGTTAGCTTGTCCACGACCTGCTTTATGAATCGATGTCTGACAATTCCGAAGTACTGACAACTAAATGGAACCTGCGGAAACGTAACGAGTGAATGCGTTTAAAACGACACCAGGTGCAAAATATTTTTGCACGTTTTGTACCGTTATCTTTCGTTCTGAGCGAATGCAGTTCTCCTGTTGATTTATGTGATATGGGACAGGCCATAAAGTCAGTTGGAATGGTACTAATTGAAACAAACGGGGGGAGGGTGGGGGCTCACATTTCTTGAGATTCCGGACTGTCATGTGTAAGTAAGTCCTGAAACCTGAAGTCGGAAAGCACTAGCCGTAATGTTTGGGAAACCTACTATTAACAAACTTTTGATCCTGGTAATTTTGGGAACGCACATCCTTCACCTAGTTGTATTTGAAACTCAAAATTATGATAAACTTGTTTTCAACAGCTGTAAGTTGAAAATTTTACCACAAATGGATATTCTAAAATCTCTTCTCAATATTGTTTCTTTGTACAGTGTTTGTTCTTTCTTTCCGTTGCACATTAAGGCTCATGAGAGTGATATTTTTCTCTTAAAGAAAAGTGTCAAGGAAGTGGATTCTTTATCTCACATGCAGAGGAATAAGTTTGTTTAGAATTTTTGATAGGTGAGTAATGTATGAAATGCGCCAACTAACCTACTTGAGGTATTTTTTAGTTTCAATGTGTGTCCATTAATTTCTGTAATATCTTTTAATTCTGAAATTGCTTCTCAAAACAGTAATAGCTGCGATCTCGATAAAATGGTTTTTACGAAAAAAATCTTGGTTACATGATGATACTAAATACGGGGGTTGATCCTCATGCTCCGCCACTGATCCGTTTGCAGATGCTTATTTGAAAAATGTTGATGATGCTAAAACAAGTGATATTGTTAGGTTACATTATCAAATTATTAAGTTTATGCAATGCTTTTCAAAAAGGTCCCGTTTTATTGACGTACTTTTTGTGGTACCACCTACGTTTTGATTATTAGTTGTTGAGCTAAAAGCGATTCAATATACAAAAAAATAAACTTTGACTCTTCCCAGTCTGCCATGTTTAAAGTTAGTGACTATATTGTAGTGTTATGGAGTAATAATAATAATATTTAATCACTCAGTGTACAAAGAAAACAACATGAGTAAATTAAGTTAGCATAAAAACAGGCCCACTAGGAGGCATTGGCTCCTGTACATGGACCAATAATTTTAAGTTGCAACTGTAGAATACAAATTACAAAAAAGGGCAAAACTTAGTCACAGTAGATTATGATTATGTATTTACTCGATGCTCGTATTTATGAGTTTAGGAATTTCAGTCCTAGATATAGAATGTAGAAACTTTTTTATAAAATCTTGGCGTTAAATAGAGATACGACCTCTGCATTATAGATTCTTGTGGCTGAGGAATTACTGTGTCACGAATTTTATACCTTGTATAATAAGTATAATGATTGATTTACTTTTTAAATTTTTGATAGTAAGTAGTGCTGTGTAATAAATAAAGCTGTCTAATATCATACATTTATACATTGCGTATAATTTGTCATTGGGATAAAGTTTCGGTTTTCTGAACATCATTTTTAGAATACTTTTTTGAAAAATATCTAAATTATAGATTTGTGATGAAAATGCAGTTCCTCATGCTAATATACCATATGTGAGATGAGGCTCAATCAGTGTATAGTAAGTATAATGTACGAAAATGTTTTTGTTAGTATATTCACAAAGTTTTTGTTTATGTACGATAAAATCTACCGTTCTTTAAAATATTATTGACATGGAGGCCCCAACGTAAGTGAGGATCCAATAGTGTTCCAAGATATTTTATGTTTGGCACTCTATTAATTTGCAGTTTTTGATTATTAATATTGGAGGAGAAATTTGTGTATTTTGGCATAAGATACAAATGGTAAAAATGCGTTTTACAATAGTTAATGCTTGATTTTCATCTATTAAACCACGAAATCATTTTTAATTACATTTTTTAGATCAGACCAGTCAGTGCCTTCATATAATGTTGCAATACCATCTGTAAAACTGGATATTTTGTCAACCCAATTAATTTGGAAAATAAGATGTTCCTTGTGGGACACCACACTTAATATACATTTCCTTGTTAAATGATCTTGATCTCTGGACAGATTGTGGGCGGTCTGATAGATAATACCCATAAATATCTTCAAATAGAGTATGCTTTTGGGTTCATGTCTGACAAGGCATTTAATAAGCAATATAAATGTTTGCAAGAAAGGTTGTGACGACCACTTAAAGTCATCAAAGCATTATGGCGATGGCAAATGTCGAAGGGAGTGCAGCTTCTAATGATATAATCAAGCCCTGGTGTCACGGGTTTGAGTGCGGAAAGACTTCTTGGGAAAAACAACATGGCAGTGGGTCACCTGTAACGGCATCGACTGGCCAAAGCATTAAAAAAGTGCATGGTATGGCGTTATAAGATGGACGCATAGCCGTACCTCCTGGGTTGCTATGACTGTCACTTTATAATATTTCCAAAATTGAAAGATTTGTGATGAAAGAAACAACTTTTTACCGAGAAGTTGAGAAATGTCGGAGCATCGGTTAAACCACAGCATTTATGAA